AAACCCCACCCTAGGCTATTACTACTGCATCCCACCAGTAGTATACATACTGCAGAGAATTCCAGCTGTTCTGTCCCATCCACCTCCACACAAGTGAGGCCAGATACAGAGTACATCACTTTTGTCTGCTTTTCAACATCATGGTCAACTGGAAAACAGCATGGGAATATTTTTGCCCCAATATTTCTCCCAACATTGTTTGGGAGAAAGAAAAAATTACCCCACAGCAAAATGCAATAGAATTGCCGGGCACTGTTTTTCTCCATTCAGTTTTATCTGTGAAAATATATATATCCTGTATGGTCAAGGAGATGAAACTTAGGGATAACATTTACAGCTCTTTAGATGACAATTTCATAAAATATCTATTTTGTAAGTCTAGAGAGAAATGAGAATTCTGTGTGAAACAAATCATATGCAAGAAAACATGACAAATGTTCCTTCGTGGTATGTGAGGTTTGTGCTTATGCTTTACACAGGAGAACACATAGTACCAAATCACAAGTATTCAGAAACAATTCACTTCCAAAATCTTTGATTCTCCCTGCCTTCAAAAGTTGAGCCATCAGCGAGATAAGGTTTTTCAAGCTTGGCAACATTTTTACCAGACAGGTTCAAGTGGTACCAACATCTTTCTTATTTCCAGAGAGAAGGTCACCGCTTTAGGTATTTCAATACAGTGGTGCCTCGCTTAACGACGTTAATTCATTCCAGCGAAATTAAAAAGCCCACTGAAATGCATTGAAAACCGTTCAATGCATTCCAATGGGCTGAAAAACTCACCGTCCAGCGAAGATCCTCCATAGGGGGGCCATTTCCGGTGTCTGTAGAGCGAGGAATCCATCAAAAAACACAGGGGGGAGCCATTTTGAGCACCCGGTGGCCATTTTGAAAACCCAACGATCAGCTGTTTTGACCGTCGTAATGCGAAGAATCGGTTCCCGAAGCAGGGAACTGATCTTCGCAAAGCAAAAAAAACCATTTAAAACTTTGTTTTGCGATCGCAATTGCGATCACAAAAACATCATCATGAAGCGGATTCGTCGTTATATGGGGTAATCGTTAAGCGGGGCACAACTGTACTGAATCAGCACATTCATATTTTACAAAAAAGAAATGAACTGTATCACGAAGTTAAGAAATTTGCCACAAGACTTTTGGAGTTCCAATTACAAGGAGAATGTTCTTTTGTAGTAAAAATATTCAAATGATGAGATCAAAATCTTCAAACACCTAGATTCATGTGATGCTGATACTGATACATATACTAAACTGGTATTAAGCAACCTTCATTTGTGATTTATCCGTTGCAGAGGTTAAGGATGTCACTCTCCATTTAAAAAAAAATTATAGTCTTCAATCCATCCACAGTTTACTCAAGGGGATTATTACTTGTTGGAACGCCTTTCTCCAGAACATTGAC